GCTTATGCAAATGAAGCCCAGGAAATTCAAATCCCGGGCTTCATTTGCAAGTGCGGTATGCCTACATTACCCCGCTAGTTCGAACTAGCGGGGTAGTGTAGACATACCCTAAGTGTAATTTGGGAATTTCTTTGTTTTAATTAAAAGTGTAATACACAAACATTGAGCAAATAATCTAAAAAGAATGTGACCATACCATTTTTTAATTATTAGAATAAATGTCACATAATGCTTAACAGCTGAATTACAGCACTAGACTAGAGCAGAACAATGCTGCCAAAAATAGTGGTGACTCTGGCCCTTAATTTGTAATTGGTTTATTGGTTTACAGGGCCATGTATAGGTGCAGGATGAGCAAGGAGAGCCAAAAGTGCATGTCCCAGTGGTTCTGCATTTTAAGGACTCCCCTGCATATCTGCCTTTGAGAGCAGTGTGGTAGGGAGCTTTCCAAGGACACATGTCCATGCTAATGTGCAGCCACAGAATCTTTAAAGAACAATGACATTTGGGCAAGTCATCTACTAGTGACATCCTGTCTCATACCATTGAATCATTACCGCCATGTTTTGCATGCCGATTAGCTCTAAAGAAGGGTGGTCATTGGTTGAGTTCTAATGTCACAGTGCCACCCTTTAGAATTACCTGAGCCTCTCAGAGTGATCTTAGGATACAAATACTCCCTTGGTTTCTATGACTGTCCTCTCCTGGTTCTTCTGCTATCTCTCTAATCACTTCTTCCAAGGATCCTCCTCATCTCCCCTTCAATTTTCAGTCAGGTTTCCACAGGGCTCTATTCCACAGGGCTCCTCTCCATATACACCTTATCTCTGGGTAACTGGCAAATACTAATTCAACTACACAGCATATCTAACTCTCTATTGTAGACCTAGATTCTTCTGTCTAAACTAAAAGCTAGGCTTGTGTCTCTGACACTTCCCTATGGACGTCTAGCAGCCAAAGCTCAACATGGCTAAAACCTTAACCTTATCTCCATGCCCCATCCCCAAAAAACCATTATCCCCCACATACACACCTATCTCCTTTCTCTATCACTGTGGACTAGATATCATTTCACCTCTCATGAACCCATAACCTGGGCATCATCTTTGACTCAAGACATCTATAGGTCTGCACATTGAAGTTATATCTGAATTGCAATGATTCTTTCAGCATGACATCTCTAAGATATGACTTTTCCTATCCATCCATGCAGCTAAAACTCTCTTTCAGGTGCTCATTCTCATGTCTTGATTACTGCAGTATCTTTTTCTTTGGCCTTGACAGATGCTATCTTCTGTATCCACTCAGAATATTGCTTCAAAGATCATTTTTCTAGCCCGTTGCTTTGACCCTGTCACCTCTCTGGACATCCCTAGCACAATGGAATCCTGGTTAATGACCAGGGCCCCTAGGAAATACGGTAATGCAAATCAGCTATTAGATACAGTAATTTGATTAATTATAACCTAGTTTCTTCGAATATAGCCTATGCAGAAGATTTCAGTTAACTGCATTTTAACTACATGGAACGTGTGGAGTGTGTGTGTTATTCTGTTAAGATCATTCGGGACAAAAAGAATGCTAAGTGTTACACATATTAAAGGAATCTGTTTTTAATTAATTTTAACCGAAACTTAGATTTATTTGCAAATAATCAAAATATATATTTTGTGCCCAAAGGAGACAAATGATACAAATTTTGAGAAAGTATTTTCTATTTTTCAAAAAAACAAAAACAAAAAAAAAACAAAAAAAAAAGATTTTGAATCCCTGTGGTGGCCACAAGATAGGACTGTGGAATCACTACTGATCCTGCCATAGCACCACTGAACTGCAGAATGTAGTACACACATGGCAGTGTAGTATCTCCAGTCACAAGGAAAACACTCTATATTTGAATAAGTCAATATAACAATCTCCTGCTTCAATGTTTTGTGCAGGCACTTGAAACAGACACAGCATGTCCAGAGGATTCACCTTTTAGAATATGTGTGTGCTCTGGGGTGCCTTCCATTTACATTTCAGACTTGAAGGGTAACAATCTATGAATCAATCAGAATTCTAATTTTTCTTGAGCAACATGTAAATATCAATCATCACAGCTCTTCAGTGCTCCACAAATGCTCTTCTCTGGTTAGTTAGAGGGAAAAGTCAAGAAGGGAAAAAACCTCCACAGAATTTAGTAGAAGAGTAGTTTTTATAAAATTGATCTTGCTCCCCTGAAATATAAAATCATCGTCACTGGGGATACAAAGCTAAGGATCTCAATTTAATTCAACTCATTTAACCAGATAAGTACCCAAATAATTCTTCATCCTGAAATTATTCGATAATAGCACTGGGGCACCCTCTAGTGTTTTAACAGCAAATACTGTTCCCCAGAGTTTGAAGTATCTTAAAACAGTAAGGCTATATCTAGACTGCAAAGTTTTTGCGCAAAAACAGTCGTTTTTGCACAAAAATTCAGAGCGTCCACACTGCAAGCATGTTTTTGCACAAGTAAATTTACAGTAAATCAGAAGAAGAGAAGGGTTTTTGCGCAATAGTTATTCCTCTTTCTACGAGGAATAAGCCTTTTTGCGCAAGAGCTCTTGTGCAAAAAGGTGTGTGTGGACGGGAAAATTCTGTTAAGATCATTCGGGACAAAAAGAATGCTAAGTGTTACACATATTAAAGGAATCTGTTTTTAATTAATTTTAACCGAAACTTAGATTTATTTGCAAATAATCAAAATATATATTTTGTGCCCAAAGGAGACAAATGATACAAATTTTGAGAAAGTATTTTCTATTTTTCAAAAAAAAAAAACAAAAAAAAACAAAGATTTTGAATCCCTGTTTTGAGTACAAGATAGGACTGTGGAATCACTACTGATCCTGCCATAGCACCACTGAACTGCAGAATGTAGTACACATATGTCAGTGTAGTATCTCCAGTCACAAGGAAAACACTCTATATTTGAATAAGTCAATATAACAATCTCCTGCTTCAATGTTTTGTGCAGGCACTTGAAACAGACACAGCATGTCCAGAGGATTCACCTTTTAGAATATGTGTGTGCTCTGGGGTGCCTTCCATTTACATTTCAGACTTGAAGGGTAACAATCTATGAATCAATCAGAATTCTAATTTTTCTTGAGCAACATGTAAATATCAATCATCACAGCTCTTCAGTGCTCCACAAATGCTCTTCTCTGGTTAGTTAGAGGGAAAAGTCAAGAAGGGAAAAAACCTCCACAGAATTTAGTAGAAGAGTAGTTTTTATAAAATTGATCTTGCTCCCCTGAAATATAAAATCATCGTCACTGGGGATACAAAGCTAAGGATCTCAATTTAATTCAACTCATTTAACCAGATAAGTACCCAAATAATTCTTCATCCTGAAATTATTCGATAATAGCACTGGGGCACCCTCTAGTGTTTTAACAGCAAATACTGTTCCCCAGAGTTTGAAGTATC